TTGGTATGATTCCTAACTCCTGCTTTTATTACCTCAATTTATTCATGGGATCATTTGGCCGCAAAAAGCACTTGACATGCCTTCTTAATTCCTTGCAAGAATGATTAAAAAAGAAAAACTCACGATGATTATGGTAGACAAAGATCTTCGATTATCAAAGTGAGAAATGTTGGAAGATTAGATCAAATGAAAAAAAATCTAGAATATGGCCCAATGGAACTGGTTAATAATAACTTTGACTAAGAATCTCTTGAACTATAAAAAAAAAAAAAAAAACTATAATATGGTTACCTTCTAAAGACTGGTTGAACTGCTGGAACTTTGGACGCTAAAATATTATTTGAAAAGCGGGTTTAGGTTTAAAGTTTGAAAGTGGACAAATTTTATGTCAACCAGAACCTAGGCAGGGGAACTATGTGTATCACATTTTTATTTATGCGTCAAGAAGAACTTCGTTGCTAGTTGTTGTTAGGACCATTAGTGAACTTACAATCTGCGTTTTCCCCAATTCTTATATTCTCATGCATCTTCCATACAGCTTCTTCCTCAGAAATACGCAATACTTTGAATGATGAAAAACTCCGTAGCCTCATCTGTGCCATTGATAGCTCACCAGATCCAGAAATTGTGAGTAGTCTGCATTTTCCATTTCATGAGAAATTATACTCTTGAACAACTTTTTGCCCCACTATAGTTAAAAACGTTGGTTTAAGTTGGTTATTGCTCTTATTAGGAGCTTGATAAAGCTATGGAAGATGAAGCATTTCGCATACTAAGCGGCAAGGTACTATTTTTATTCAAGTATTGTCATATATTTATGTTCGTCTGTGATTTATGAGCATGTCAGATGAATAGTTTCGTTTGCCTTAAGCATTTACTCTGTTTGTTAGATATCATCGATCATGGGCTCCTAGCCCTGGTGGTCACAGATGGAGGGGAAGAAAGTTGTCCAAGATATATATGTATGATCAATGGGACATTTCTGCCTCATTGCCTGAGGTGCTCGGCTCAGAAGATGCTGAAATCAAGGACAAGGAAGCCACGGTTAACAGAATGAAGTATGCTGGGATTGACCATCCAAGAGCGTAGCTATGATATGTTTGATGGTGATAAATGTTCTAAGTTCAGCAATGATATATAGTTGTCTTTTTTTCTGTCCCTGCAGACTCCTTTTAATGATCTACCAGTGGTACAACTCTACACGGGAAAATGACCCTTTGAGAGGATGAACCAAAGCTGTTTGTTTTATGCTTTCTCGACTTATTAGTCTGTAGAAAGACATGTTTTTGACAAAAGGATAGCAATGTTTTTTTCCCTCTTTCTTTCTCCTCTCGTTATATATATATATATATATATATATATATATATATCTATATTTAACTGCTTGCAAAGAAATAAACAAATTGAAAGGAAAAGCGAATGGATTGTATGTATAGAATTTTGAGAGTTGAAAGGCTTGTCTTGAAATTCAGACATTACTTCGAACAGTTTCAAACACAATATCCATAATCTTCATTACATATATAAGCCTTCTGGCACACCTTCTTTCTTCTTGTACATAACCTTCTCCTTTGCCTTTTTGAAGTCGGCATGTGTGACCTGGAGTGAAATACAACATCAAAAGAACAGCTTAAGCTACCGTTCACCGTCACTCAATCAACTCAAGACAAACAATGTACATAACGACTCGAGATAAACCGTCCAATCGCGATCATATTGACATCGTAGGTCCAGTAAACAACAGACCAACTAGATAACCATTCAATTTTCGAAAATTAAACTTACAAATATACTATTTTCACCACGAATTCCTTTGTTTTGTCCTCTACTTTCTGAAAATGTTTCTTAATTTTCAGAAATTGGTTAAGAATTCTAATGTACCTTTAACGGGTGAAAACCATATTAAAAGAAAACGGGGAGGAAACATGCATAGTTCTAAATAATGAAAAGCTAAAAACAGGAAATTTTCTTGCAACATAGCTCAATTGGAAACTGAGGCAACTCTTACCTTCATGCGCCGTTCTCTCAAAGCCAGCAACCCAGCTTCAGTACATATGGCCTTTATATCAGCACCAGAGAATTCATCTTTGGTCATAACAAATTCCTCCAGGTTGACATCGTCTGCTAATGTCATCCTTGATGTGTGTATCTGCAAATCAGACGTTTTGAGGAGTTAAATAAACAAGAAACATTTTTAAAGATCTAAGCAACCCGACCTAAAGAATGGTGTAGTTAATGTGCAGCTTCCAAATTAACATGCTTTCCATTGACAACTAGACCTGAAAAATTCGTCTCCTGGTTTTTATGTCAGGCAAGGGAAACTCAATCTTCCTATCGATTCGGCCTGGTCGAAGCAAAGCTGGATCGAGACTTTCGATTCTGTTTGTAGCTAGTATCACTTTAACATCTCCTCTTGAATCAAAACCATCCAATTGGTTCAGTAATTCCAACATTGTCCTTTGGATCTCACGTTCACCTCCAGAGTGAGCATCATACCTGCAGGGAGCATGAATAAGAAACCACCATCCTTCTTTTGAAATATGAATGTCAAACAACTGACCTTTTCGTGCCAACAGCATCGATCTCATCAATAAAAACAATGGAAGGTGAAAGATCATCAGCAACCCTGAAGAGCTCCCTTACTAACTTTGGACCATCTCCCAAGTACTTCTGGATGAGTTCACTCCCAACCACGCGCAGGAAAGTGGCTGAAGTTGAGTTCGCAACTGCCTAAAAGAAGGGAAATATGGTTTACAAACTCAGAGAAATTTTAACTTACACCCCACTATATTTCTACATAGCATCCTAGAAAGTCTGAATGATTAAAAGTTTACATAAACGATACTTAACGTATAACACGATAAGTAATAAATCTATTGAACTTGTGGGCATCAAAGTTTTGAAGGGAGAAGAATAAACACTCACCTTTGCAAGCAAAGTCTTGCCTGTTCCTGGCTCCCCATAAAGTATCACACCTTTAGGAGGCCTAATACCTATGTCCTCATATAACTCAGGATGAGTCAATGGCAACTCAACAGCTTCTTTAATCTCTTGTATTTGAGCATCCAATCCTCCAATATCAGCGTATGACTCTAAAGGGGCTTTCTCAACTTTCATCACAGACACCATTGGATCAACCTCATCTTGGAGAAGTCCAACAACGGAAAGTACCTGAAAGGAACCGACGACATTAGGCAAAATGATCAGCAAATGTCTTGATCATACTCCAACTAAGAAACTAAAGGCCATGTGCCTAATTTCGTACAAAGCGCCGACTAGCAAAGTGGTTTCCATCACAACTATCCGACAACACGTCAAAGACTTCACAGTTGATAAAAGTACTCAGTAATATCAGAATAATATAGAAAAGTGGAAATGATTAAGACCTGAACAGAGTTCTGTGGACAAATTTTGAACTAAAACTTCTTCATTGCCAGCATTTTAGATTCCACAACAGTTCGCTAAGTGGTAATACCTAAATCACAGTAAGATGTAATGAAGCACGACATAAACTGAATTGGGATTCCTAGACTTGGAATATCATCAATATTTGAAGCCATTCCCACAAGTCAAATGCACTTATGCCAACCACATTATGTCCCCATCCAAACTAGATGTAAGTCTCAAAATTGCATCATCAAACTAGACAAGTTAATACTAACAATCTAATATATCAAAAGGAAATGGAATGAACTCCAACAAAAAATCAAATGCCAAAAAACAATTAACAAGAGAGAATTAAAAAAAATATTCAAAAAAATCTGAAAGCCCTATACCTTATTATGCATCAAAATTGCACACCCAGGCTCAAGCTGATCTTTATCAACAAAAGACATAATACCAACGTAATACTCCGGTCCAACAGAGGAGGAAACAATCGCATGATTTTCATCAATTAACTCCTCCAAATTTCCAACACTCATTGGAGATCCTCTCAGATCATCGACTTTAGAGCGATCCTCCTCCGCCTTCTCTTCCTGCGGCTTAAGACGTTCCTGATTAGTGACAAATTCCTCTTCCATTAACAGGTAATCCTTCACACGCTCAAGCTTCAGAAGCCTCAGCCTGCACTTCGTGTGAGGCGTCACTGTCGGAAGCCGAGCCGCCGCCTCCGGTCCTTTCTGCTTCCGCTGTTTCCGGCCAACTCGAGTCGGGGGTGCCGCCGGTTCATATTTCTTGTCTTTCTTTTTATCGCCGTCGGATTTCCGGTCGCCGGGAGCTTGCCGGTTCAGACCACCTGGAGTTCCTTGACCCATTTCTTGCAATCCGAAATAGACGAGAGGGATTCCGATAAATGGCAGCCGCTTGAAGCTAATATTCAGTCCCGGTGACCCATTGAACAAGAAAACAATCGCTGTATTGATATGGGCTTGGGCCTTGCCTAAATATATCTCCTTAATTGGGCTGTTGATTGAGCTCATTTGGGCCTTCTACGTAATATGGGCTTGGGCATTCGCCCGACGTGTACTTAAATCGGGCTCCTGACCGCTTATTTGGGCCTAGCCCATTTCTGGAAAGGATCGCATTCCATATGGGCCTGAGCCTTAAGTCTATATTTCTCACCTTAAATTGAGCTGGGCTTGGGCCTTCAAGATCATCTTACCTTAAATTGGGCTTGCCATTGGACTAATTTGGGCCTTGGGCCTTTTCCTAATATCACATCTTAAATCGTTCCGGCCTTATCTAGTTAAAAAAAAAAAAAAAAACCTACTCTTTTGTCCTCCTAGTTCATTCAAGAAGTTATAAGCTTGGGCAGTTATAAATACACTCGAGCAAGGTTTAACCCTGGGCCCTATGGGTTATGGACCCAACACGTTTATGGTGCGCCACCCTGATAAATCAATGTGAAAACCACTAAACCAGACTCGAGAAACCTATATTACACCATTTTATTTATAAACTCATTGATCATAAATCTTATTCATATCAAATAGAAGGTTATATAACTGTAGAGCTTTGAAACAAGCCATTCGTTTGACATCTCTGAAAATATATTAAAATCATTTCCATTTATGAATGAGTTCAAACGTATTTCGAGGGTCATTCTTCAAGTAAATTCCTTCGTCTTTTGCTACCCAAATGCAACTCCCATAGCCACATCTTTCTAAAAGCCAAGTGCTGTCCCCCTCGGGCCAAAACACATCAAAGGACAAGTGCCCATTTTGGCTATCAAAAGTGCACCAAAAACGAGTAGATCCCCAAAGATTCACCTTGAATTTCCAATCGTAATCATCTGCAACCTTGATAATATGTGCACCTAAATCATCATCACCGGATTTGCAATGAACATTAAGTTGTGCCTTCGATTGATCGTTTATTATGACCACTCTCCAAGAACCAAAAGGAACTGGTGCTCCAAATGATTGTTTCACGAACCCTAAAGCAAAAATGACCAACAAAGCCATACATAACGGGTTTAGGCCTTTCATTTTCTTTTGGGTCTCGCTCTCACCAACTTCTAAAGAAATCTCTCTCAATCGAATTAGGGTTTATGCATGAAAAAACTTAGAGGGATGTCGAGATTATATATTGGTAAACAATTAAGCTTGTATTCTTTAGAGTTGAATATTCATTGAATTTGTTTAAATAATAATCAACATATTGAGAAAGATTTATTAATGCTGATAAATTCAATCATGCTATTCATGGAAATGGTTTAATGCAGCGTTACCAAAATTAGAGATTGTTAATACTTTTAGTACAAATATTAATGAAAAATCTTCAATATAATTAGCCCATAAAATATATGTTTTGAAATTTATTGCGTTTTATAATTTATCGAACGCAAATGAGCATAATTTTGTGAATCATCTTGTTTGATTTTGGGAAGAGACAAATAGGTCAGTGTCGGGACGAGGGAATAATCTACCTTTTACCAGATTATTCCAATCTTGACAAAGACAAATTTTCATTTTCGTTGCCTTTTAGTTTATATAATGGTCGGTCTTCCCTTCCTACAGTACATAAGATAGGCGAGTAAAGACCTCCATTTCATAGCACCCGAGAACTGATTGGAGAGGAGGAGAAAGAAAATACTCAAAATGATATCTGCGGGTACCGAATACAGAGAAAGAAAATACTTGAACGTTCCTTAAAGTTTCGTTGAAAAATATTGAAAGAAACTTAGTTTTTTCATATAATAATTTAAGTTTCTCCATTAGAATCTCTCGAGAAAAAAAATGCTTTTTTTCTTCCTTATTTTACTAAAGATTGGTATAATACTAAAACGAGAAAACAATTTTTTCAAGTTAATAACCCTTGTCTTAAAGATGAAAAAAAATGTAATGGTACACCGATGGAAAATGACCTCAAAATGGCCCGAAAAGGAAAGTGCTTAGGTTTGTTTTTTACCGAACATTCCTCAAAGTTTCGTTCAGAAATATTAAAAGAAACTTAGTTTTTAAGCATAATGATTTAAGTGTCACGATGGGCTTAAGTTCTAATAAACGATATTAGATAGAAATCGATGAGATAAAAGAGAATATATCATGATGTTTAACAAAATCTTATTCATACTGTCACATAAAAGGTGGCATACGTGTAGAGCTTTGAAGTCTAAAAATTCATCCAAATCATTTCCATTTATGAATGAGTTCTAAAGTGTTTTGAGGGTCATTCTTCAAGTAAATTCCTTCATCTTTTGCTACCCAAAAGCAACTCCCGTAGTCACATCTTTTGAAAAGCCAAGAGCTGTCTCTCTCAGGCCAAAACACATCAAAGGTTAAGTGTCCATTTTGGCTATCAAAACTGCACCAAAAACGAGTGGATCCCCAAAAATTCACTTTGAAACTCCAATCGTAATCATCTCCAACTTTGAGAATATGCACATTTAAATCATCATCACGAGATTTACAATGAACATTAAGTTGTGCCTTCGATTGATAGTTTAAAATGACCACTCTCCAAGAACTAAGAGGAATCGGTTCTCCAAAAGATTGCTTCATGAAGCTTAAAACAAAAACGACCAACAAAGCCATACATGTTGGGTTTGGGTTTAGGTCTTTCATTTTCGTTTGGGTCTCACTCTCAAGAATTTTTGAAGAAGTATCCTCAATGGAATTAGGGTGTGCCTGAAAAATTTAGAGGGCTGTCGAGATTATATATCCATAAACAGCTAAGCTCGTACTATTTAGAGTTGAATATTGATTGAATTTGTTTAAACAATAATCTAACATACATCCTATTCATGGAAATGGTTTAATGTTTTTTTTTGGCATATTGGATTTGAGATCGTTAACACTTTTACTACAAAATATTAATGAAAAACCTTCCCTTTATAATTAGCCTATATAAAATATATGTTTTTGTAATTTATTGCCGATGTGAATTTTTTTTGGCACGATTCACCATAATTTTCATCTTATTTGACTTTGGGAAGAGACAAACAGGTCATTTTTGGAGCAGTAAATAATCCACGTTTTGTGCAATTTGGATTATTCCTGTCTTGACAAAGAACAATTTTCATTGTTGTTGAGCTTATGTTGTGGTCAGTTTTCCCTTCCTACACGCACACACCCATTAGAATATCTTCTTGATTCTGCATGAAACCAAGTCAATACATATGATAGGCGAAGTAAAAACCCTATTTCATAGCGCCTGAGAAACGGATCGGAGAGGAGAGGTGAAAAAAAAAAAGACTCGAAATGATACCCATTAGTACCAGATTGAGAGGATCAGCACTTTAATATATATTCTAAAAAAATCTCTTTTTTTTTTTTTTTACATTGAATAAATTTGAACTTAAGTGTTTTATACCATTGTGTTCCTTGAACTTTAAACTTTTTTTATCCATCAATTAAAGATATAGATATTCATATTGGAATGAAATATTTTACCGACACCCTATATATTTTCATGTTAAAAACTTTCATATAATCGAAAACTTCAATGTTTAAAGACATGTTTTTATTATAGAGAGCTCACAACTTTGGTGTGGATTACAACAAAGGTGTTGGATATTCACATAGCTAACAATTGTCACTCTCCAAACGGATTCCGGAGATTGTTGGGCAAATCAAATGAAGACATTGAAAGTTGAAACAAAAGTAAACAGTAGAATCACCTGGAGACTATTCATAGCCTTTATTTGACTTAGATTTGTTTGTATTTCATTTTTCAATTAGGTAGAATGAACCTTTTATATATAATGGTTATAAATTTTGTATATGGAAAGCTTAGTCAAACACACAACCCCAACTTATCTTTTATAGATCTCTTATCTTTTTATTAGGACAATGGATCCTAACATAGACCCTCCAAGATTCTCTGTGAATTTTCAATCATAATCATTTTCAATCACAAAATAAATATGGCAACATTTTTAAGAGTGGATAAAAATGGTAACATTGGTCACGTTTTCATGACTCGAATCTTTTTTTAGGAATGTCAGATAAAAACTTATTTTTCTCAGATGGTTAAAGTTGATAATTTTAAAAAAGAAGGAAAAAGAAAAAGGTGTACGTACCTTCCTCTGCTCCTAATAATTTTATTTTTAGAGGATTTGGATTGAAAGAAAAATATGGACCATCTTCCTTAAATTTAAAGTATTCTAAAAAATTCACAATTTTTTTTTAAATATAGAAAAATTTAAACTTTGTAACGTGTTTTCCCTTTTAACTCGTCGTAGAACTGGATGAAAATTTTCGTTTAAACGGGAGGGAGTGGTGACAGATTTTTTCTTTATTAGTTAAATGGAGTGGAGACAAGATTATATTTCCCGTCCCCATCCATTAGTTTTTTAAATAAATATATATTTTTATAAAATATATAAAAATATGGAAAACGATCTTCGTGAAATTTTCATGGAGAATTCTAGCAAAAATAAATAACAAATTTTATAAAGCTGGAGACTGAAATAAGAGATTACTTGCATTTCTAGCATTAACTTTATAAAAAGAATACATTGTCCAAGGAGAGTTGTCACTAGAAAACTCATAATTGGCCTCAAATCTTATTCATACTACTACGAACAAGGTTACATGTGTGTAGAGATTTGAAGTAGTTATTCATTTGAAAAAGCTCGAAGAATTCACCCAAATCATTTCCATTTATGTATGAGCTCATACGTATTTACCGGGTCGTTCTTCAAGTAAATTCCATCATCCTTTGCCACCCAAATGCATTTTCCAAGGCCACATCTCTCTAGAAGCCAAGTGCTGTGTTCTCCCTCAGGCCAAAACACATCAAAGGTCAAGTGGCCATTTTGGCTATCGAAAGTGCACCAAAAACGAGTTGTTCCCCAAAAATTCTCTTTGAATTTCCAACCATAATCATCTCCAACTTTGAGAGTCTGTGCATTTAAATCATCATCACCAGATTTACAGTGAACATTAAGTTGTGCCTTCGATTGTTGATTTATAATGATCACTCTCCAAGTACTAAAAGGAATTGGCGATCCAAATGATTGCTTGACGAAGCTTAAAGCAAAAACGACCAACAAAGCCATACATAATGGCGTTAGGTCTTTCATTTTGTTTTTTTTTTTTCCGCTTCTCACTCCCAATAATTTCTAAAAGAAATCTCTCTCATTTTATAATGGAATTAGGATTCATGCATGAAATGGTATGAATGGTGATAACTTCAATCATCATATTTATGGAAATGTTTTATGATTTCTTGGAATATTAAGTAAGGTTATGTAGCATGTTCTAAAAACAATTTTGTTATTAATGGAAAACAATCGCTATCTGCATGATCTAAGCATTTAAGTGGATCTTATCATAAAATAAATATAGAAAATTTTCATTAAATATTATATGTATTCTAACAAAAAAAAAAAAAAAAAAATCACAATTTTTCTAAGTATAGGTAGAGGACAATAAGGTAGCAACAATTCAACTAAANTATTATATGTATTCAAAAAAAAAAAAAAAAAAAAAAATCACAATTTTTCTAAGTATAGGTAGAGGACAATAAGGTAGCAACAATTCAACTAAAGGGATATAATAAAATTGATCGATAAATATGTTTTTACGAAACCAAGTTGATAGAACCAATCTTGGGATTTGTGGGTTACGGGCCCACCACGCTTTCGCTGGCCACTATGATGAATCAATATAAAAACCACTAAACCAAACCCGAAAAAACCTATATTACATAATCTCTTCCATACAAAAGTAAATGACTTTTTTCCATTTTCCGCACAACAAACCATTTATTTATAAAAAGATTTCAACTAATACACAGAAATCAATGAGATAAAAGAGAAATATCGTAATGTATAACAAAATCTTACTCATACTATCACATAGAAGGTTGCATACGTGTAGAGCTTTGAAGTAAGCAATTGGTTTGACATCTCTAAAAACTCATCCAAATCATTTCCATTTATGAATGAGTTCTAAAGTATTTTGAGGGTCATTTTTCAAGTAAATTCCTTCATCTTTTGCTACCCAAAAGCAACTCC